GCTGCTGCTGCTGCTGCTGCTGCTGCAGAAAGCCTTCTCCAGCTGTTGCTGTGGCTGCTGCTGCTGCTGCCGCTGCTGCTGCTGCTGCTGCTGCTGCTGCTGCTGCTGCTGCAGTGGCGGGCAGTGCGCTCAGATAGGACCTTCTCAGGTTGACTGCGAGCAGCAGTTTCTCGATTGGCAGCAGCTGCTGCAGCAGCTGCTGCAGCAGCAGCTGCGGAATTCGCTGTTGCTGCAGCAGCAGCAGCAGCAACAGCAGCAGCAGCTGCTGCAGCTTCCTGCTGCAGCGAGGAGCAACAGCTCACCAGGAGGGATATCGCCTCCGGGTATAGCANGCTGCTGCAGCTTCCTGCTGCAGCGAGGAGCAACAGCTCACCAGGAGGGATATCGCCTCCGGGTATAGCAAAAGGCAGTTGCTGCTGCTGCTGCTGCTGCTGCTTCTGCTGCTGCTGCTGCTTCTGCTGCTGCTGCTGCTGCTGCTGCGTACTCGAAAGTATAGAAGGGGCTGCTGCAGTGAGGCGCCTGAAACAGCTTCTGCGCGCAGCAGCTGCAGCTGCTGGCAGCGACGAGCAGCAGCAGAGTCGATGCTTGCTGCTGCTGCATCCTGTGTCAGTTGCTGCAGCAGCTGCTGCTGCTGCGGGAGAAAGCAGCGCACTGGAGGCTGCGGCAGCAGCAGCAGCAGCTCCTGCTGCGGCCCCAAAGCAGCAAACGAAGGGGCAGCATAGCCGCTGCTGCTGCTGCTGCTGCTTCTGTTGCTGCTGCTGCTGTCCTGCTGCTGCGGGGCTTGCCGCACAGCAAAGCGCATGCAGAGGATCATCAAAGGTTCTGCTGCTGCTGCGTTTTGCTGCTGCTGCTTCTGCAGCTGCTGCTGCCGGTGCACCAGCTGCTGCTGCTGCTGCCGCTGCAGCAGCAGCTGCTGGTGCTGCTGGGGCTGGGAATGCGGCAGCGGCTGCTGCAGCGAATGGACCCTTCTGCTGCTTTGTCTGATAGGTCCTTCAGCAGCAGCAGCAGCAGCAGCAGTTGGTGCTGCTGCTGCTGCCGGTGCAGAGCCTTCCTCTAGCAGCAGCTGCTGCTGCTGCTGCTGCGCTGCAGCAAAAAGGGGAATCGCTGCGGGCCCCCCAGGCAGCAGCAGCAAACTGCTGCCGCTGCTGACGGAGCCGTAGAGCTCCAGAAAGAGAAGAGATGAGTTGCTGCTGCTGCTGCTGCTGCTGCTGCTGCTGCTCCTGCTGTGCTGTGGCCGTATTGGAGGAGCAAAGGCATCTCGGATCCTACTGCTGCTGCTGCTGCTGCTGATGCTGTTCCTGCTGCTGATGCTGTATCTGCTGCTGCTGCTGCTGCACACAGTGCAGCATCGTTGTGCGTAGCAGCACCAGCAGCAGCAGCAGCAGCAGCAGCAGCAGC